GCCAGTTCCTTCAGAACTCTGGGATGTAATCTGTCGAGTCCTGTTGATGTGAACTCATCTAGATCAGATAAGTGTTCCCTTGATTTGTTATCTTGCAGAGATTTCATTTACCCAAAGGAGGTAACATCATCAGTGCTAATTTGGGTAATAAAACCTCTGCAAGAAAACAACCAAGCTCAGGGACCCCCAAGATCCTTAAAATCCATCCTGTTTGACTGTGGACATTTGTGTTACCAATTACTTGCCTCCTCTAGATCCACAACCCTCTTGCAAAGTTTCACAATGCCATGAAGTTACTAAGAATATCAGCAACTTCAGTTGTCAGCCAGGAGTTTGGATCTAAGCCATAGCTGTCACATTCCTTAAATAGAAAGAAGAAAAAGTAATAAAAATGTAAAATTTAAAGCACTAAGAAATGTTGTTAGCACAAATATCATTTGTGGGTAGTCTTCATTTATCTCTCAATGTTTTTAATTTTGGTGTTACATTGGTATCAGTTGCATAAAGCCACAATTATCCTGTCAAAACATGTTGAAACAGCACATTCAGCATTTTCATAGATACTTTACATATTTGTTAGCATTCTATAGGCTACAATATCAAATTGAGTCAGGTAAGCCAAAAACTCTAATTTTTATAACCTGATATAGTTAAGTTTAACTGTCCTGACAGAAGGAAAGTTACCGAAGGCAATCACTCCCATTTTTTTCCTTCCTGGAGTAGCAAATTTACCAGTCTGAAGTACAACTGTTTATATTAAATATCAATAAACCACAACATGCAAATGTCCTTATTGCTGAAAAATATTTGGGAACAGTCTCAAAGATGGTGCATTATTATTTATCAATGATACACTTTTTAATAAAATATGCAGATGAAATTATTTATAACTTCTTTAATAAATCTGATCTTAAATGAATATTTGCAAAGTAAAACTGAAGTGATCCAAATAAAGTAAGATAAAGACAGCCCCCCCAAAGAATTGACAATTTGCTTCTTATATTTTCTTCCAATTTTATAGTAGCAATTAAAATTAATAATTATGGATATTCACATGGATTTTTCTGTAAAATAAAATATTAGCCTTTATTGTCTAAAATTAAGAGTTCTATTTTCTCTGTTCAATTAAATTTTTATTTAAGGAAACTGATGCTTAAATTTATAAGAGGAAGAGTATTAACCAACCATTATGACTAGATATAATTATCATCTTCTCCAGACTATAGTAATGTCTTATTATTTCCAATTACAGCAAAATAGGTTACATAACTTAGTGCTCCTTGCTATGTTTAACTCATATCTCCACAACTTGTGATCCACTAACAATTTAAGTTGGAAGACTCACTAGATCATTTGAAATTTCATCTGAGCAAGTGAAAAAAGAGCAAAAATAAGATGTATAGAAGCACAGAGAAACAAAAGAACATTATAAAGAACATCAAGTAATAACTCTTTCATCAGAAGACCCAGATCAAAATAAATAATTCTTCATTTACTGGAAGATTAATTAACAGATTACATATTTCCTGGCAGGTCATAAACTGTGCAGACCTGATATCTTACACAAGTATCAATCACAGATTAAGCCACACATCCTAATTTGTTAATCTGATTACAGCTGGGCAATATATATCCTGCCCATGGCATATTCCATTTTGTTATTAAAGACAGTATTTTATGGCTTTGTAAATACATGGTACAAAATCTTATGACATCTTAAAGACTAATGCATTTATTTTGGGGTTGGGTTTCTATGGACTAGTTCTCTCCAATTCACCAAATCCAGTCAGCCCACATATATAACATGTCAGTTTTTCAATACTACAATCTCTTTGATGATTAATTTTATTTTAAGCAAGATGGCCTATGCTGGTTTTCCAGCTCTTGCAAATAGCATGAAACTTCAATATAACTGTGGAGTCCTTGGGATTCTCTATGTTTGGCTGAGATGCACCAAGCACTCCACACTTCAACCCTGAGCTACGTGTATTCTGTTCTATTGGAACTTCAATACAAAAATGCAAATCATAGCAATAAAAAATATTCGAGTTAAAAAGTACACTCCAGCATCTTGTAATTTGAATACAGTGGCAACACAAACTCTTTTGTGCTACACTGCATTAAATTATTAAATTTAAAATCTACAGCTGTAGCTGTATCACACATAGGAGCATCCAAGGAGATTTTTATAAACCCTGTAACTCCAGCCTACCTTCAACTGGCAGAAGTGATTAATTAAACACCCAACTTTCTGAGTACCCATCTTTCTTGCCAGCAGATAAAGAATCTCAGATCCTGTACTATAATAATAATAATAATGATGATGATGATGATGATGATGATGATGATGATGATGATGATGATGGAAGGGACCTTGGAGTCTTCTAGTCCAACCCCCTGCTCAAGCAGGAAACCCTATACCATTTCAGACAAATGGTTGTCCAGGTTCTCCTTAAAAACTTCCAGTTTTTAAGTTTTTAAACTTCCATTTATTAGCCTAATGCGAACACTCAACTATCAGTTAACAGATAAATGCCCTACAGCAGTGGTGGCGAACCTATGGCACGCGTGCCAGAGGCGGCACTTGGAGCCCTCTCTGTGGGCACATGCGCTGTTGCCCCAGCCCCGCCCCCCCCCTGCAACCCCCCCCCTTACCAGCAGCCTGCCTGGAGGAGAGTCTCCCCCAGGCACGGCCCATGTGGAGCAGTGCAGCCAAGCACATGGCAGCCAGGCAGCAGGGGCAAGACTCCGCCCTCGCGCCCCATCATGTGCAGATGATGCTGCGGGTGGAGGGTGGAGGGTGTGGCCACCATGGCGCTGCAAGGCTGCCTGGGTGATCTGTGGTGAGTGGCCCTATGGGTGGGCAGAACGGGGGAGCAGAGCAGGGGTGGGCCGGGGGGGCAAGCCGGTTTTTGGGCACTTGGTCTCTAAAAGGTTCGCCATCACTGCCCTATAGCTCTAGTTGCAAAGTGGCTTGTCATTCTAATGGATGTGACCCAAAGAACAGTGCAGTGTAGTAGTACTCCTGTATTACTTTAGTACTCTTCTAGGGTACTAGATTATTAGTGTCTGTGCAATTTGTATTTCATTTGTGTATAGAATATAGAATTCACCCTAAAGAATTCTACATGCTATAAAAATAGCACAGGGTGGTTTTGTTTGTTGAAAAACTATTTTTTGCTGTACACATTCTCATTGTTTGCATTCTATAGATGTGTCCTCCTTCCATGATTCCCTATAAAAATAGAAGGAAATGCTGGAATCTGCATCCAACATTTAGTAGGTCCTAGGATGGGGAATATTGGTGTAAATGGTTCATTGGCAATAGCTTGCAGCTGTATATAATGCACTCTAAATAAAGCAAACTCACAAGGTGGCTTTAAATTAATGTATTTTCAATACATTTGGCTTGAGATTCAGTAAGGCACAATAAATGTATACAGTGTATTGATGACAGTGTATTCGGACTTGAACTTTTAACATATTTCAGTTGGCAAAATATACAAAGAGAAATGCTACTGAAAGGAAATACTTGTGAAGTATTGCCGAGATTTACAGACAGATACTGCTACACTTTCTTTGTTTCTTCACATTTTTCTTCTGCTGGGATTTATCCTCTGGTAGTATTCATTCAACCAGTAGAAGTGAACTACTGTTGACACCAGTGCTTTGTGTCTGGTAGCATTTTACTGCCTATATTACAACTATTAAAATTTAGAAAATTGAAATTGCCAGATATAAAATAGCTTGTGGTACTGAGATTATTTCCCAGTTAAAGGTAAAATATTATTTGTAAAACATTGCCGTGAAGGAAGTAACTCTTTTCTTGTAATAGCCAAGTTGGAAGGCACTAATTTAAGCATAATTGCACAGAGTTAAGGATTTACATACTGTATACACATGTCTTAAGCAGTGGTGAGATTCAAATATGTGAACAACTGGTTCTCTGTGTGGATGCCACTTCTGGAAGTCCATTCTGGGCCTGGGCAACAAAAAATTAGCTGCCGGTTCTGCTGAAGTGGTGCGAACCGGCTGAATCCCACCACTGGTCTTAAGGCAGCTGCCCCCAACATTGTGGGCACCAGGGACTGGTTCCATGGAGGGAGGATTTTCCACACACCAGAGAGGATGTGGTTTTGCATGCTGCCTGCATCCCACAGATGGGGCTTCACTTGTTTGTGTGGCCCAGTTTCTGACATGCCACAGTCCGGTACCAATCCATTGGGGAATCCTGTCTTAAGGTACCATGATCTTGCTTTTTCCCTACTTGTTTTTATGTGCAAAACTAGAAAACTACATTTCCCCCACTTGAGAAAGAGGTGTCCAGCACCAGGGGTTTCAATGTGTCAAGGGTAGCACAGCTGTGAATAAAAATATGTACCTGATTGTGTTATTTCTTTAGAACAGGACTATTCCACGTTTGATCTCTAAATGAAATTCAGCTCACTGGCTATCAATGCGTGGTAGAGAGAGGGGATCAAAAACAGAGGACAGGTATTATATGAATCTGGGTGGTAGTATTCGGTGTTAAAACACCACAATTTATTCTGCTTCTCCTTTAAAGAGAGCTTCTGGAATACAGCAGATTTGGCTTTAAGGATTCTCACTCAGGAAGCTGATTCTGGTGAAAGGTTGTACTGATGCAAAAGCAGAAATTAATTGCACAACCATATGCATACATTTCTCTGCCTCTGCATAACAAAGCCACACTATATAAAGGACATAAGTACAAAACAGACCATGAATGATTTAACAGCAGCACGTTCAGGAATCTTACAGTGGAATGTCTGCTCTCTGCTCTGGCGTTATTAGAACAAATGAGGAAGTTGCGAATTCCTGAGCAAATTTATCCTTCGTAGAACAAGGCTTCAGATTTTGTGGGGCAAGCTTCTTTTTGCTAAATCCACAAAATTAGGCACTTTAAGAAATACAATTCTTAAAAAAAATCTGAACAATAGTGTATGTAAATATAAGGAGCAAGGACTATTTTTTTAAAAAAATCTATTTTTCTTCAGTGTGACAATTGATATTCCAGTGCAAAAACAGTTTGAATGAACAGGAAGATTTGTCTGTATTTTGATAGGGTTACATTCTGTTAAAGGACAAGAAAAGAGCACCTGCCCCCTCCCAATGGTTTCATAAGATCATAGAGCAGTCTCAAAAATTATTAGTCCTTGAGATTCAGATATTGATGGATTGGGGACTGCTTGATCACTTGGAGCAACTTCTGGATAATTCTTCTTAAAATAAACCTAAGAAGGAAAATATTGTATGTTAGATTTACGGTAGCTTATTCTGAAGCCTGTCACTTAAGGATATATATCAAAGGTAAAATACACATTTTAAATCCTTTTTATTTCTTTTTAAAAAATAATAATAAACCTGCCTTCATTTTCAGTAAAGCATACATATTTCAACATATATGGTAGTTATCCTACTAAAAGTGTTAATAATTCTGATCAACAGATAACTATCATTTGACATTAAACTGATAAATAAAATCCTTTTACTGGCTCAGAAATGGAGATAAAAACAGGGTGACAAAGCTGCTTCAAAATCTAGTGTCTGCGCAAGGGCTTTTCATTTTCACACATAAAAATAGGCACAATAGATTTGGATGTGAATATCAAGGTTGTAATCCCTGCATTTTACAAACTATGATTGACAAGCATTGAAAGTTCAGGATAGATGTATGAAATATCCCAGCATTTAATTTGCAATGTGGCAGAGTCACAGAGCTTTATAGAAATATGATCTGGGGAAAGGGTGCCACAATAATGAAAGGGAAAGGCAAAACAGGAACAATGGCTCTAGCAAGCAACTTCTCTAAAATGTAAGATGATACCAAATAATAGAATAGTTCTTTGCTGAGCTTTTGAGTTCTTGAATTCTACCAATTTCGTGCTGAACTGCCAGAGATACAGGTTTCCTGATAAATGTATAATCAGAACATAAAGGAAATGAAATCCTGTCAAGTTTCACTGTTCCACAATCATCAGTTTTTAGTAGTTGTATCATATCTCTGCTCCCTGACAGATGTGGGTAACAAAATGAAATAATGTCAAGACTTGTGTGCTCTTATCTGAAAATGTGTTTGGGTGAAAAGGGGCTTCAAAATGTATTTTTCCCAGAAAGGAGAATGTCAAAAAGTTTTATTTAAAACACATAAAATGCACTATCTTCCACATAGCCGACATATGTCATGAGTTAGGCCTAATATTTATGCTTTCTGGTAAACAGTGCCGTGTTTATTTGTAATTTATATCATTGGGTGATGCTCCAGGCAAAGTTATAAATAAATTGTTCTTCTCATATAAAGAGATGGGCGACGGTCTAATAAAAATTTTACATGTATTTGACAGACATGTATGATATGCGGTTTCACTGTTCTTATTAGTCACCTTTGCACATCTTTATGATAAAGACTGCATTTAAATTCAATCTAGCTTGCCAACTTTTAGGGGGGTTTTTTCAGGATCTTATACTTGATAGAATTACAGGGAAGGCAGAACTATTCTCATTGCTAGATTTCTATAATGCAATTAGATTTATTGCTGAAATGCCATTTCCAGAACCGTTATTTTAGGCAAAGGCCCTATTCTATAATAATTGGTAAGTCCAATTGTAAAACCTTCTTAAGAATCTCTAAATCCAGAACCTATTTTGATGTTCTCAGACCTTGAAACTGGTATGTCCCTCAGAAATATTAACACTAGGTTTTTGTATTTCTCATATATTTGATTTATATATTTCTTTAAAATAAATAAGAATACCGCAAATTGATGACAACAGTAATTAATTGAATGTGAGGGGGTTTTTTTTTGAAGAAGTTCTTACTGAATTTGAAACTTAAAGCTTTTCTTTACAGAATTGTTTGGAATCTAAGTTGATGGGAGTGGAAAATTTATTTCAAATATCCAGCACTTGGAACCAAACATCTCTTGTTCTACCCAGATGTTTGTATTTCAAATATTATTAATTTGATAGCAAGTCCAGAAGAATTATTATAGTTTATTTTATTTTTATTTTATACTTATATTTATATTTATTCTATTCTTCCTCTTGGAAGAGCCCGATTATTCCATTTTTAAATTATACTCAATTTGCTCTCTGTTCATTGGACTTTTTCTGGAATAGTGATCAAACTTCTAGTCTTATCTAATTGATTGAAGGGAATAAATGAATAACTCAGTACTTTTTACTCAGCTAGATTGATGAATACTATTAGAAAGAGATGAAGCAATTGATAAATGCTTCCCGGTTCCTTAATATGGTAACATCAGATTTTGGAGGGGAAAAAATCAGACCTTGTCTGGAACATCTAGGCTAAGGAAAGTTCTACAATTGATGGTGATTTAATCCCCAGCTTCATTGGATGAAAGTAATATATGATTTCTTTACAATCTGAGTTTATGCTGGGTTTTGGGATTTGATTTGATTTTCCCTTTCTGACAATTCCAGAAGTGCATATTAGAGGAAGATTACTTAGTTTTGTGGCCTTCATTGTCCCCATTTTTCCTATTTATGCAGCTCCAGGGAAAGGTCATAAAGAATTTCTGGATTAGAATCAGATGGATCATCATTATGGTAATAGTAACAATGCTGAGGCTATTGCTTTTAGTTTCTTCATCAATTAGTACCAACGAGTCTATGGATATCTTAAACTGTTTTCTGAGCTGAAGTGATAGACTGGATATTGAGGCTTAGTTAAGATAAGATGGAGGTATGGTTGATTTATTTGGGATTAGGAGTCCAATTCTATTCTGAATAAGATTACACTTGCTTCTGAAACATATTTTTGCTTCATTATACTCAAGAATCAAGTGGTCTTATTTTCATTTTGTATGTTGTGTTAGTGGGGCTTCAAAAGAATATGTGTTTTTCTTTTTGCTTCCTAAATTTGTCTTTTTAAGCAACCATCATCATCACTTCCACCCCTGCACTTTCCTTCCCCACCCCCCCAGGAATAAAGCTGATAATCGCCTTGTGTCTGATTTTTTGTTGTTGTTATGATTTCAGCCATTCTCTTAAAATCATATGCCCCAATGATTGGAGGGCCATAAAGTTTATTTAGAGCCAGTTTGATATAAAAATTAAGGCATCAGGCTAGAAAGCAGGAGACTGTGAATTCTAGTTCTGCCTTGAGCATGAAATCAGCTAAGTGGCCTTGGGCCAGTCACTTTCTCTGAGCCCTAGGAAGGAGACAATGGCAAACCATTTCTAAAGAACCTTGCCAAGAAAACTACAAGGACTTATCCAGGCACTCTCCAAGAATCAGACACAACTGAACAGAAGAAAAAATAGGTAGGCTATGGCCTTGTTCATGCACAAATAGTATCAGAGGGCAGGTAGTCCTCAATTTACAACAGTCCATTCAAAGTTACAACTGCACTCAAAAAAGTGACTTAAGACCATTTTTCACACTTACAACCATTGCAGCATCCCCTTAGTCATGTGATCAAAATTTGGAAGTTTGACATCTGGTTCATATTTATGACGGTTGCAGTGTCGCAGGCTCATGTGATGTGACCATCTTTTACCACCTTCTGACAAGTAAAGTCAATGGGGAAGCCAGATTCACTTAACAACCATGTCACTAACTTAACAACTGCAATGATTTACTTAACAACTGTAGCAAGAAAAGTGATAAAATGGAGCAAAACTCACTTAACAAATGTTTCACTTAGCAACATAAATTTTGGGCTCAATTGTGATCATGTCAAGAACTACCTGTAGTAAGAAATTTCTAAAACTAAAATTAGACAATTACACACACACACACACACACACACATGATGAAATTTATTCATCATATTTGACTTTATTCATAAAATTTCCCTCCACTCATGAACAAAACTGCAGTTTTATTTATCAAAAGCAAGGGAATTTGATGGAGCTTCACTATAATCCTGGATTTACTGAGTGGGAAGAGTAAATGAGTCCAGCATCACACTGTATATCATCTTCTACACAAGTTCAAAAACAATCCCAATCATAGCTCTTTTCTGCAATGGGAGCATATGATTTTCCACTCTGGGTATATATTATTCCAAATCCCAGTAATAAAGAATGAAAAAAGGCTTTATAATTGAAAAGCTACAAAAGCTTTAACTATAGTGGGGAAGATGGGATTTTCTGAAGCCCTGAATATGCTACCTTGTGTGGAAATTCAATCATTGAGACAAACTTAATTACAACATTTTGTAGAGGAAAAATGGAGGGGGGGGGGGAAGTGGAGAAAGAGACATGCCTTACCTGTTTGGCTGTTTCTAGGATGGAGAGAGCTTCAGCCTTACCCAGTTGTTGAACCATCTTGTAAAACAGGCTCTCCTGTTCTTGCAGCAAAATGTATGGCTCATCATATTCTTTCAGGCGTCCCAAATCTAAGACCTGATGAGTTGGCAGAAACAAGTTGCTTAATAAAGGTGAATTTTGGCAGCAGCCAACAGGCGTCTTCATCCCACTTGATTTGCTCCTACTTTAGCGCATATTTACATGGACTCTGTGAATACTTAAGCTACAATTAATAGGGGAAGTAAAGAAATAAAGATTCTCATTTTTGTAATTATATTTGTACAGTGGCCAGCCTGCTTTAAATTCTGTACAAGAGTGAGGTTGATGGAAAGGAGAATGAAGGCCAAAATCTTAACCGAAAAAGTTTTGACTAGAAAGCGGAGCTTAAGGAAATGCCACCAAGGTTTTTTTGACAACACACAAAGACTCATTCCACACAATGAGACTGGACACCCAGCCAATTTTTGAGGGGACTCAAATGGCAATCACACAATAGCTTGCAACCAAATGTTCAATCTTTATTTTTTCAGATGTACCAAACAGTTCTGACTATCAAGTATACAACCAATGAACAAGGAAGCATTGCATCTCAGATGTGTAGGACTATCCCCATCAGCCTCAACTTATATGGCTAAATACAAGAGTTGTTGAAACTATCCACAATTATGGTTCTGCTGCACAGATTCTGGGCACCTTCTCAGGTAACCTTCCAGCTCTTGGGATGCCATCTAAAACTCACTTTTTTTTTTTTTGCTATGGCCTATGGAGTATAACTTCTCTGGTCAAAAATCCTCAACTGCCATTGAATCAATATAATGCTGATTTGCTTGCATGCTTTGTACGAAAGTCTGCAGCACAAAAGTCTGTGTGGAGTAGTGGATCAAACCAAAATTACACACATTTTAAAAATTAGCCTGTTTGTTTAGAGATACCTGGCACAGGTAGTGGTCGACTTACAATTATAATTGAGCCCAAAATTTCTGTTGTTAAGTGAGACATTTGTTAAGTGAAGTTTGCCCCATTTTACAACCTTTCTTGCCTCAGTTGTTAAGTGAAACACTGCAGTTGATAAGTTAGTAACCTGGTTTTTAAGTGAATATGACTTCCCCACTGATTTTGCTTGTCAGAAGGTCATAAGAGGATCACATGACCCCAAGTCATTGCAACCGTCATAAATATAAATCAATTGCCAAATGTCTGAATTTTGATCACGTGACCATATAGATGCTGCAGCTGTCGTAAGTGTGAAGAATGGTCATAAGTCACATTTTTCAGTGCCTGTGTAACTTTGAATAAGCGGTTGTAAGTCGAGGACTATCTGTGTTCATTCCTTTTGGGGGGGTGTCTTCATAGCTAACTTTCTTTATGAAACCCCCATGGAAAACGTTAGTCTCATTCATCAACTGGCAATGTTTCTAGACACCATTGTGAAGGAGTGGAAATGTCAGGAAATTCAAGGTCAGGAAACAAACACTTCAAGATCAGGAAAAAAAAATCTAAAAATGCTACAAAAATGTTCAGCGATACAATAATAGAACCTTGAATTCTGTCGAAGATTCCATCTGCCCCATCTTTTACCCAACAGAATCAAGGCAGAGTTATTTTAAGTTGTTTCTCATGCTTTTCATTTTCTTAGGACTGAGTTACTGTTTCTCCTCCCTTAACAATTCATCCATTCCTTCCCTACTCTCTGCTCTGCACTGACAACAGTCAACATGTTGAAAGGTATACTTAACGACTGCCCTGTTTAGCGACTTAGCGACTGCTCTGTTAAGCAACTGCTCAAAGTTACAACAGTGCTGAAAAAATATGACCAATCAACACTTGACTCTTGCAGGGTCCCTGCATCCAAGTAGTCAAGGTTTGGGTGCTTTGAAACTAGCAGGCATTTACGTTCATTCCAGCCTCCAATGGTCACATAATCACCATTTGCGTGTTTCACAACTGGCTTCCAACAAGCAGAGTCAATGAAGAAGCTGGCGGCCAAATCGCAACTTGTGGTCACGCGATGTCTCAAAGAACCACGATGACTTGCTTAATGACTGAATGGGAAGTAACATCGTAAGGCTGTGGGTTCACGTGATGTTTCATTTACCGACCACGTTGCTTAGTGACGGAGTTAGCAATTGTGGTTGGTAAGTGAAGACTACGCTTCAGCCCTATTTTCCCTGCATCTCCTTCATGAAAAGCTCGCTCACACTGAACAGGGCTACACTGAGAAAGATTAATTTGCCGGGATAAATGTGTAGTTTTGCCCCTACGATTTAGAAACTACGTTACACAATTTGCTTTTCCCCAACAAAAATAAATTGCTTGCAATTTTTTTTTTTAAAGGATGACTTTCTGAAGACATATGAATGGAGTTATGGTCATAAAAATTTAGCAGCTTGACACTTCTTTTTCAAATAAGCTTTTTTTAAAAAACAAACAAACAAACAAACAGCCAGTGAAAGACCAAAAAGTCCATTGGAAATAACACCCCCCCCCCCGTATCCCCACACACCTCACAAGAATACTGTAAAATCCAAACAATCCTATGTACAATTTGCTGATCTGAAGTAATTCCCATTGTTTCACCTGGCAAGTGTGCTTTGAATCACGATCTAATTAAGGCTACTCATTTAGCTTTCCATTTTAATATTATATGACACTGCAAATATTCTTGTAATCTCAGAGCTACTATTCTCGACACAGATTTAAATTCCTTCTCTTTATTCTGTTTTATTTACACATACAAGAACACATTACAAATCTTAAATTCATTGCACCCTCATTGACTATGTTTAATTATAATTAAAATCACCTTTCTGAAGGGTTTAAAGATAACTGAATCTTTCATCTACAGAGCACCAGCACAACAATCAAGATGTCCTATAATTTTGCAAGCCAATTTAGATGCCTTGAATGTGTAATTTAAAAAGCAAAGCCCTTTATTGAATAACCACTCCCTTAGAAATGAAAGGAGGGAAATCCAGGCTGTAAATATAGGCTTCATCTTCCAAAAAGAGTGAAACGTTTTCACTTTGCATTAAATAGAGCATATCCTGCTTTGTATGAAAATGAGCCTCTGTGTGGCCACCAGTTTCTATATACATCTTTCTTAAGCTGCACTTTAAAGAAATCCTGTCCAATTATTTTTTGTGTGTGTTGTGCTTTCAGCAACAAAAGAGCAATGCTATTAATTACTTAGTACATGGCCATATGAAAGCCTCCAAAATTGCAATAAAACAGAAAGGAAAAATATTAAATACATAGTAATCACAGGATCACCCAAAGCCCAAAAGTCATCCCAGATCACTTTAGTGACATGGCGAAGGCCATTTATACTGTGCGGAAGAAGGTGATGTTAAACCACTCCTGCATTTTTACCAAGAAAATCACATGGGCAGACACTATTAAATGATTGACAATATTGTTGTTGTTATTGTTGTTAGTTGCGAAGTCATGTCCGATCCATTGCGACCCCATGGACAATGTTCCTCCAGGCCTTCCTGTCCTCTACCATCTTCTGGAGTCCATTTAAGCTCACGCCTACTGCTTCAGTGACTCCATCCAGCCACCTCATTCTCTGTCGTCCCCTTCTTCTATTGCCCTCAGTCTTTCCCAGCATTAGGCTCTTCTCCAGTGAGTCCTTCCTTCTCATTAGGTGGCCAAAGTACTTGAGTTTCAACTTCAGGATCTGGCCTTCTAAAGAGCAGTTGGGGTTGATCTCCTCCAGGACTGACCAGTTTGATCGCCTTGCAGTCCAGGGGACTCGCAGGAGTCTTCTCCAGCACCATAGTTCAAAGGCCTCAATTCTTTGGCGCTCAGCCTTTCTTATGGTCCAACTTTCACAGCCATACATTGCAACTGGGAGAACCATGGCCTTGACTATAGGTACTTTTGTTGTCTCTGCTTTTTAGTATGCTGTCTAGATATAGTGCCAGATAATGGGCACCTCAAGTCAGATGCCATTCAACAGGATACAGATAATCCTCAATTCATGACCAGTTGTTCAAAAACTGATCGAAATTATGATGGCACGGAATGAAGGGGAGTTACAACCAGTCCTTGGGAATTCTGGCCATTACAGCATCCTTGCAGTTAATGACTGCAGTCTGGGTGCTCAGCCCATACATCTGCCAAGGTTGAGAAACACTATTATAGATGCAAAAGTTGGATTTTAAAAAAGCGGAATGGAAGTAGTATTGATCCTTTTGAGTTTTGGTGTTATAAAAATAGAGTACCATAGACAGTTGGGGAAACATGCAAATGAATGATAAAATAAAACCATCATGGTCCTCACACAGGACTCAAAGGACCAGACTCAAATAATTATATTTTGGACACTGTATGCAAATACCCAGTTCCCTTGAGAAGTACATAATACTTGAGAAAGTTGAAGGAAGTAGATGGACTGATGGCAAAGTGGATGGACTGATTACAACAGCAATGAATATACTGCTGAGAGACCTAAAAGACTATTCTAGAAAAAGTCTATCTTTGTGGTTGCTAAGAATCAATACTGACTTGATAGTATCTAATCAATCAATCAATTAATCATCCGTTCGGTTTAAGGTTAATCATGATTATGATGAACATTGAGGGAAAGAATAGAATAGAATAGAATAGAATAGAATAGAATAGAATAGAATAGAATAGAATAGAATAGAATAGAATAATGTTTGTTGTCACTTTGAATGTACACTAATTGGCAGACATTAAAATGAAATTTCATTGCATACAGCTCTCAAATGGTCACCACCTCCGATATACACTACATAAATATGATAAAAAATAAATAAATAAATACACAATTATGCATATACCCACATATATTATATGACACAGAGAAACAACAGTCTAGTTCGGGTTATGTATACATGTGCATGGCGAGAAAAACAAATCTTGCGAGTGTACCAGATGGATGGCATAGGGAACAAAGCTATTACTAGTACTAGGTAACTAGGTATGCCTAGTCTAACAATGAGAAGGACTGAGGGTGATAGCCTTCTAGTACTTGACGGGCTGTCACAGAGAAGAAGAAGCTGTCTTATTCTCCAAAGTACCTGAAGGCAGGACATGAAGTCATGGGTGGAAGATCATTAAAGAGAGAT